TATGCTACCCCTGGGAGCAGGTTCCAGGTATGTGTAATATTCACATGGGGAAGGGCGTGTTCAGGCTGGGCTTGGCTGTTGGGAGTGTTAGGGCTGCAGGGAGTGTTTGGGCTTCAGAGAGTGTTAAGGCTGCTGGGAGTGTTAGGGCTGCAACGAGTGTTGAGGCTGCATGTAGTGTTAAGGCTGCAAGGAGAATTAGGGCTGCTGGGAGTGTTAAGGTTCCTTGGAGTTTTAGGGCTGCAGGGAGTGCTGAGGTTCCTGGGATTGTTAGGGCTGCTTGGAGTGTTATGCATCCTGGGAGTGTTAGGGCTGCAGGAAGGGTTAGGGCTGATGGGAGGGTTAAGGCTGCAGGGAGTGTTAGGGCTGCTGAGAGTGTTAAGGTTCCTGTGAGTGTTAGGGCTGCCGGGAGTGTTGACTGGTGCGAGACTGAATGGAGAATAAACACATGGTCACTGATAACATCCCTGCGCATTTCTAATGCCACAGATTTTAGTTTCTGACCCAGTTACATTAATTTGCAGCATTCTGGCCACTGTGCTTTGCTGTTTAACATTAAACTGCAATATGTGCACAGAGTAAGCACTGCGATTTGGGCATTTTTTACTTTCAAAGCAACAATCATTTCACACAACATAGCATCAATTGTAGCTGACTGTCCACAAGTTACATGATTGACCTTAGTTCTGCGTGTATGTATGTTATGCAAAATACTGTTTTCATATACCAAATATGATATATGAAATACATTAGAAATGTAGCTCATGGAATATAAAGTAAGGGTGGTATATCAGAATGCACACTCCTCAGTGAGGGGGTGATATATGAGAATGAACACTCCTCACTGAGGGGGTGATATATCAGAATACACACTCCTCACTGAGGGGGTGATATATCAGAATACACACTCCTCACTGAGGGGGTGATATATCAGAATACACACTCCTCACTGAGGGGGTGCCAGATCTACTGGAAGATGTTTGGCATGTTACAGCTAGCAGATGCACTCTAATCGCATATAAGCGTGAGGCTCAGGTGCTGGAGTGTCTACAGAGAGGTTCCATTCCTTCCATTAAGCAGGTGCCATGGCACCCTGTGGGTGTGTTGGGACACAAGGAGCTTTCATAACAAAAGCACAGGGCTGATGACTCACCAAGCAGAGATGCCCTCAGCAGATCTTCTTCTTATCTTCCTGGTGACTGATGTTGTTGTTATCGCCTCTTAATTACGTTGCTGTGATTTTGTGAAATGATTGCCGGCATATCTGCTGAAATGTTAGCTTAGCATTCAAAGTTATTCATTTGCTTGATCCCAAATTGTCATCTACGTACAATTTATTTCTGTGTATTCAACTTAATCTGTACTTTTTAATTTAGCCAGACACTTTCTAGCTGTGGATAAGTTAATTCATCTTTTGATTAAAATGATACTCTTTGTTATTTGTAAATGTAGGTTCTCTGTGCCTTTGGTCTAATTGGAGCAACGTGATTCCCGGTGAAGGAGATGACGATATTAGTCTGAAACTTTTTGTTTGTGGAGATTGTCTTTTATCTAAAGTTAATGATGGAAATTCAGAAGAGAATTATCCAGCCAAAACATAAGCAAGAACCTCACAGAATCCATCATTAGGAATCTGTTTAAAGACCCCCAGATGTTCAGAGCAGAGTGCTAGTTAATCCCAGTAAAACTGCCGTCCAGCCGCACCCATCCTCAGTTCAGCATCTCGCTACATCACACTCTGCAGACCCTCCGGGACCCTGATCCGCACATCCTTATAGGCCACGCAAGCACCTCTCAACTCCTGAACGGGGAGTTATACATTGAACTGGGATTTATACACTGAACTGGGATTTAAAACACCCTCTGCTCTTCCCCTTCGTTTTTCCTTTCACACCAGAGGGGCTGTCAGTCAGTTTCTTATTAAAAGCCGGTTAGCTGTGAATGTATTCTCACCCATTCTTGATATATTCATCTTGACACTTCCTCAATGATGTTTTTTTTAACGTAAAGGCTGGGTGTTTTATTTGGGACTGTGAGTCAGACAGTGAATAGGGACTAACTCACGAACTCACACTATTCAGGGAGACTTTTAGCAGTGCCTTAGGTTTGAGGGTCTGTCTTTGATGCAGCAGCTGCAGCTTTATGGCTCATTTCAGTCCTCTGGGCAAATCCCTCTGCCCGATGACCCTTTAAACCATTTAAATATTTCGGTACTATGCTGGTACTCCTGTTCCCCAGTTCCTATAATTTGAAATGAAAGGTCACATACTTTCTCGCCACATTTCTTCCAAACCAAAATGCAGTCTTTCCAGACTAGTTTAATTACTTGTCCCGCACGCTTGTTTCCCTCGATTGCCAAGCAAACTGACTTCATCTATTTTTAGTGTTTCCAGGGCCTCGCTGGCCAGACTGGAGCGGTTCCCGTGGTAGCAGCCTTTTTTCCCCCTTTTCTCTGTGCCACACTGCTGTCTCGCCTAACAACCTTCTACCCACGCGTGACAGTGCCGTCCAGACAACGCGTGTCCTGTGGGATGCGAGACCCAGGAAATCCGCATACATCCAGGAGCCGGTCCCTGAATGTTAAGGAGCAAGAGTCAAGGCACAGGGGCTTATAGGTAAGCAGTGATGGCGTACGAGTGATGCCAGCCGGGGTGACGCTTCGGGGTGTCACTGTCACCAGAACGCACGGAGGATGTTGGAGCGTCAGAAAGGACCCCACGCAAGAAGGCTGCCTGAATAAATGGGTAAAAAGGCAAGGAGAAAGATAGTTTTGAGGAACAGTTGTGTTGAGATGAAAACAATCCCACAAATCTCCTGGGTTTTATGTAAATGCTTCTTGATTCCCCTGATCATCTAGACACGAGTTCCATGTTTGGTTGTGTTGTGCTTTGTGATGCTATCCATGAAACGACGACGTCGTCAGCACGACCCTATCAGAATCCACACCTAACACCCAGCTTCCCGTTAATTCTGCCCACACAACAGCCCCCCAACAAAGCAGCAAAAACAGAAAAGCACTGAGGCTCCTGTCACCCCTTGGGGAATCGAAGGAGAAGCTATTATGGACGACAACTCTTATAGGAAATTACAGACGATCATCCTTGGGGTTTCTCAGGCACGGCAGTACAACAACCACCAGGAGAAAAGCTTCATCATATACGACAGAGCGGCTTTAAAAGAGAGATGAAAGAAGACTGACACATTATGGATCTTCTTACCACGCTGTAGCTGTCAGGCATCTCTTTCTCAAATCCCATACTGCTCCAAAATGCCTAGCGGTTTTTATTTATATCAGTGGTCTATTAAAAGGAGATATTTTCTCTTTAGCAGTTGTCTTGTCTACAATTAAGGGTAAGCCAAACAATATGGCCCACTGTGAAAGTCGAGATACGACTGAATAGAATCACAGGCTTGACTGATTGAGTTTCAAGCCCCTTCGGGTGCGGAACCTCTTCACGTCGGCCTGCTGACACTTCCTCTCAGAGCAACGCCCCACTTGACTTCCTGTGAAACCCCCCCTGGCTAGTCCTTGGCCAGTGTTGTCATCGGAGAAGCTTGCTTTCAATGGGGACGTGCCCCAAAATGAGCAAATGCCATTTGGCAGCACCAACAGCTGCCATTTAAAGGCAGCGAGAGGGGATTATAAATTCGGCACTGTGCCCCGGCTGAGATGAAGGCCGGGTCAACATGGTTCCCCCGACTTGGCCCCGCGTCTTCATTTCGGGAGGGAGTCCCGTCTGGGACGCTTGATTGACCTCCTCTTTGGAATTCATGACTATTTCATGATTGGAAATAGCAAATGGGGCCTTGTGGCTCCTGGCTGGGGGCCGTCACAGGGAATCTGGGTGCTGTCAGACACGCAGAGACAGTCCTCGTGCTGTGGTGCAGATGGTTCAAGACAATAGGGCAGGGCGGAACACCTGAAGACCAAAAACGTTAAGCACTAACATGCTCAGCGAACCATAAATCAACACAAGACCGATACGATTCTCTGGGTTACAGGACATCAGAAAAACCTGGTTTTGTCAAGTAATGCCTGGCCAAGGTGGTGCAGGTGGATGGGGGGGGGTGTAAAAGGTAAGATCAACACACCATAAACATCCCGGAGCAAGTTAGTCTCACTGACGTGCCTCTGAGAACAGCAATTAAACACACCAGGACTACGACAATGTCACCAAGTCACTCTTAATAGGTGCCTATTGTGAGATTAAACTTCTTATATCAATAGGTGATGCGTTGCACACGTAATACAAGAGCTCCCCCTGGCAGGAGCCATTTGAACTGCACAAGGCAGTGTCCTGTTTTTCAATTATTTAGCTGCATTACAATGAAAAACGTGAAAAGCAACAAAAATGATTTCCATACAAGGATGAAGCTTTAAGTGCTAGTGTTGGACGAAGGCAAGAACTATTACATGCATTAAACGGGGAAGGGGGGTGAAATTGGTAAGATTGGACTTTGAGAAACAATGGGGCCACAAAGGGCTATTAACTGGGGGTAACCAATTTAAAACAGATAAAACACTAAAAAAAGGATGCGGTGATTCTGGAACATTTCGTAGTGTAACAGAGGAAAAATTAAGCTGACAATTGAAGTCCAGGATCGGGAACAGCTAGAGCCGAGCGGCTGTACATTTCAGTAGAGTAACAGCACCCTCTAGTGGTGCATCGTCACCATTTCACTAAGGCCCCGACGGTATTAATGAATATAGCGGTCATTCATTAGCTAAATGTACACCACTTCTCTAGCATTATAGGAGGAATGTAGGCTAGTTGGTGATAAATGGCTACAAACCAGAGGTTTCAGGGGAATGGACACCAAACACGAACAGTTCAAGCTGCGAAAAGGTAAGTTAAAGACTAAAGTTACAACACAAATAGGTATTTATACAATATTTAATGTCTACAAACCACAATGCAACAGCACTCACGCCCCCTCCCAACTTTACACAAAGCAGCCTTTTCCCACCCCGCCCCCCATATATTAAAGTTTTTTTTTTTTTATTAAATGCTTCACAAGTTGATGGGAAATGAATCAAGCACCCATTTCAGCTTTGAAAACAATCCACCTCCCAGAAGTATTCACATATACACACTACAGGCTAAATTTTACAGTTTCAAACCCATATTAGCTGAATTTCACGCAGTGCATTTGCAGGCTAGTTGAATTACGTGCGTAATTTAACGCAACCGGTCGGCTACAAAATCAGCGCCAAGAGTGAATCATACTAACGGGTAAATACATTTATTCAATAAAATGGAGACGCAACTCGCAGAGTAATAAAACCGTCCGAACCAGAGCACTTAAACACAATATTTTAGACGAGCTCCTCTTGGACTTGGCAATACCCCCAGTACTTAAAAATCCAGCATGACGTGGCGCTGGAGATGGTGTCCGCCCTTCACTCCTGGCCAAACATCTCTTGGGACGCGTAGGTCATGTAGAGGAAGCCGTCCTCGTCCTTGTGATCCTTGTAGACCTGCGCCATCGTGAGGGACATGCTGGCAATGCCGTGGTTGTTGATGAGCAGGTAGAAGGCTTGACTTGGCATCAGCGACATCCGATTTCTAAGGGAGGTCACACATAGTATGTAATAGGCTTCTCTTGCAAAAATAAGTGTGCATGACTCAAATGCGTGTTATATGCAAGAATGTACCCGCATTGAAACTGCGCCCAGCGCATTCATTTAAACCCGTCTATATAAAGTTATGAACTACAACCTCGATTTCAAGACCGTAGTCATGGAGTCAACAATGGGATGGGGGCACTAAGCATATCTGAATATTGGGGGGAGAAACGTGCCCCCCCATATACATTATAATTACGGTAATTGCTCACACCTGGCAATGGTCACCAATTTCAATTGAGCAAAAGCCGACAAACAAGCCGACAAAACAAACACAAACATTTACCTTATTATCGTTACAAACTGGGTCATTGAAAGTTCTTGAGGCACCAGGAATTTCGTCTTATCTAGGGGAGGTAGGTATTTCTCCCTCGGATACCTTTCAATTATCACCTAAAAGCAAGCATTTCAAGTCAAATATCAAAACTATCAACTGTCAATGGAAAAATGACGTTTATAAACGGATCAGGATCAATCAGGATTATGGACTTACAGGGATCTTAGTTGGGAATTTCGACCGAATGCCTGCTACCTCTTGCCTTCGTGTTGCTGTTCAGGGCACAGAGTTGCAATTAAACGCACCATTTAAAATTTGGAGGCACTGATTATATAGGTAGGAATCAAAAACATAAATTACCAAAACTTTTCCGCTGCTTGAAAGGTTTGGGTTGCTGCGGCTTGTCCAATGCAGGCATTCTGGTACAAAACAAGGGCAGAACCCTCTTCCACGTGCCTAGCCTGCACCCCCCGACCTATTTAAATAGTTTCAAAGGGCGCTCGCTTTGACGTTTGCGGTGACGTAGTTTGCTCTGATTGCCAAAGCGGCGTTTGACGCTCCGGCAGCCGCGTCCTACAGGACGCTTCGGCTCGCTCATAACTGATTGGGGTTTGGTGACCTAACCTGGAGTTCGATTAATTCTTTGAAGAACCTAAAAAGTGCATTGTGATATATTACGGCTAATGCTAAATACGCTGCTCCATTCAAACCGGATATTCAAATACGACTTCGAATGATAAGATGTATGTGGACCGGAAATTTTACTTTCTCTCTTATTGTGGCTTGTCGTGAAAAAACATAAACTTGTTCTGTATATTTGTTTTACTTTTTCAATTCCACTGCAACAATAATCTCCATGACCATTACTTAATTTTATCATGCTTTCACACATTTTTTTCCATTAGATTTAAAAAAAAACTAGTTTAAGTAGCTGGATATTGCATGTTTTCTGAATCTGCCCTTCTTTAAGAACATTCTTATGGTGTGAAGTTTGAACACTCGGTTCTGGTCCAAGATCAGTGTAGTGCATTAACCTCTGTAGCATCACACACTGATCTGTAAAAAGATTGTTTAGATTTTTATTAGGCTGCTGTAGTTGTAGACTGTGAGGAGCAGATGGCTGCAGCCAGGAGCAGAATGTCGAGTAGGATGGGCAATGTCGAGTAGGATGGGCAATGTTGAGTACGAGGGGCAATGTTGAGTAGGCACAATGTGGGAGGGGTTTATAACAAGGGACCTGTTATCATCTGATACCATAACCCTTGTTATAAAGCCCTCCTACCCCTTGTGATAAGCCCCTCCCACTCGACATTGCCCCTCCCATTCGACACTTGGCTCCCGGCTGCAGCATTATATACTTGTGCCAGTAAAAGCCAGATCTTAGTGGGTATAATTTAAACTGATTTAGTGTAGTTTCTTTCTTTATTGTGGTGATTCATTCATTTATGACTGAATGGGTTCAGGTGACACAATGTATTACGTGTTGGTTTCAGTCCAGTTATCATATTTCTGTGATTCAAGCCAGTTTGTTGTAAATCTCCTTTTGGCTGTAATATCATTTTGTCTGATTTTTCATTGACGATAATATGTTTTTGTTAGCATGTTTAACCACTTTGTGTGTTACAAACAATGCTACATATTTTTGTTTTTGTTTAATTTCGAGCCTCACGTGTCATCAGCAATCTTCAGCTCATCCCAGATTGTTTAGCTGACATGATTGATACCCTCTGGTGTGTCAGTAAAGGTGCAAATATTGAACATGTTCGAATAATGGAATCATGATATATTTCTACGGCACTTTTTTTTTTTTTTGCGGGAATAAACTTTTGATCTCACGGTGCGATTTCTTCTGTTCAGCCTCGGCATCAAAATGTAGTTGTGTAATAGCTGTCGGTCAGAAATAGAATGAGATGTTCCTCATCGGGAACATGCTTAGACGACATGCCCACGTTCCTACACATACACGCCGTGGTGTTCATCTTTTATGCATTAGAAGAGGAAATGAACATTAGCTGCGTTAATAATATACAAATAACTAATAGTCTGTGCGAGTTTATTCAGTTTAGAAATATTTTGATAGTCATTTCTGTCAGTACTATAATGACAAAGTCTGTTGTGGGATTTAAGCCTACACCCTTCCTGTCTCAGGGCTAAGTAAATAAATATCTTAAAGGTGATTTAAGAAATAAAGAAGTCGAAATGCAGCATGTGAGGTTACATTCTTCATCCCTCTATGATGTTCATCATTGTGGTTGGGCAGACAAGCTGGATGTGAAGAGCCAATGTTAGCCAGGTAACAGAAACACTCTGTGCTCTGTAATGCTGTCACCTTTTATGGAAACATGCATGCAATGCTACATGATTTTATTTAGACAGTCATACATGGAGATATTGTAATTGTGTTTATAACAGCTCTATAAATAATCTAGAAAAAGAGGAGTCATACTGATTTGCTGTTACTGTAGGGACCAAACCTTGCATCGATCCTTGCCCTCCAGTCAAGGTAAGTGTCCTATTGATGTAGAAGCACCAAAAATCAGTCAGTCAGCAGACAGATAACAGCCGCAGGAGGAACAGGTCGGCTCTCAGCAACGGTTGTGCAAGTAAGTTTACTGATCAGGGTTACACATGAAGGGGGTAAGAAAATGTTACTTTATCATTGAATTACAGTAGGAGATAACCGTTGGTTAAGCAATGCAATGCATACATTTCCATATCATCTTACAGTATCACTGTATTTATTAAATGGAATCAAAACTGAAATCGTTCAGCAGAATAGATACAACAAGCAGTTTCCCTGCTAGCGATTTTGGGCCCCATGAAAGAATATCATATTGGGCTCCCTATCCAATTATGTTACACATTTTTAGGGCCCTTGTCAGTCAGGGACCTTTGGTATCATTGTAACTTTCACGCTTTATGTTGCCCCTGACGACAAGATAGCGTGGAGTGGACAGCATGGAGGATTGTGGCAACTAATGCAGCTGGAATAGCGGTGCCCAAGCAGCACTGACACACCAGCTAATTCCACCAGTGGAGAGAGATGTTTTTCTTAGAGGGGCTCAGGACTTTGGTGAACGGAGAAGTGATGTTCTAAAGATGTGCATCAGAAAGAGGGACAGAATTTGTTACTCCAAAAAGAACTTTGAGATATGCAGTTCATCTGCCCATCCAGCTTCTCACTGCATTATCCTGGTCAGGGTTATGGGGGGGGGGCAGGTAAATATGCTCTCACATACATTCAGAAGTGAAAAGTTCAGGTTCAGAAAGTACAAATCCAGACCAGGATTTCGTTTCAACCAACTAGTTGAGTATAAAGCAAAGGGCCGGTGTGTGTGCAGGTTTCTGGGGTAACCTTTAGGTCAGCTGTTCAAACCCAGGTGTGAGGACTCTTCAGCCAATCAGTCCTCTAATTAGCAATCTAATTAGGGAGCTGCAGTGAAAACCCGCATACACAATGACCCTTTCTGTATAAGACTGGCCACCCCTGGTATAAAGAGTCATAATCATAGAGTACACAACTGTTAGGTTGAAACAAAGTCTTGGTGTGGATTTGTACTTTCTGAGCTTGAACTTTCCACCTCTTCATACATTAATCGCTATTCAGTCAGGTGGAAAGTTCAAGCTCAGAAAGTACAAATCCACACCAAGACTATGATCGTCGAACCTGTCCCAGGAATCACGGAGCAGAGGCGTGGGACTCCCTGGGTGGGATGCCAGTCCATGACTGGGAAAGCAGGCCATCGTATGCAAAGGGCAATTTAAGGAAACCCCCAGAACACCGGGAGTGTAACTGTCTCTAACTTCGCTTTTTGCCAATAGGAGTGACTTGAGCACCCAGCAAACCTGTAATAAGGGTCCATCAAGAAAACGTGCATGTTTGTGTTTCCACTGTTCCCTGGTTCCCTGAGGACAAAATTTTAGCCCACACACATAAATTTAAATAGTAATAATACATTTATTACAGACCACCCCCCCCGGGAACCGCCCCTGTGTGTCGCTTCAAACTTAGAAAGCTCTTGGATTAATGTATGACTGATCAGGAGACCAAGGAGCTCTTTTTAATAAAAGCCTGACCGATAATCCCCCGCTGAGACCCGCTAATTGCCGCATCACTCCTTATAAATGCTGCAGATGACCCTATATAATGCCCTAACAAGCCATAATTAGCCCGGTCAGGGTCAGTCAGGTTTCCTTAACAGAAGCTTCTGCGGTATGGGCTGCTGATCAGTTGCCATGGGAACACCAATGATTGCGTAAAACCCTATACCTTTTCTGTTTCTGAGTAATATCAATCCTCTGTGCATATAGGGTGAAATTTACATTTAGCAAATCATGAAACACAAAAGGACAAAACAGTTGGTGTTTATTCAAAAAAATAAAAAATAAATGTGCAAAAGTTTTATCCTGGTACAAAAGCATAGATAAATCCAGGTCAATGACAGTGTGGAAGCCTGGTGAGCAGCCGGAATGCCTTTACATGCACCTCCTCTTGGCTGCCTTCACGTATGCCTGCCTTTCCTAGTCTGATGGACGTCCCAAGCACAGAATTTGCCAGGTCTCTCCCTGTTTGTGTGGCTTCACACGCCTACTTTGGTTTCCTCCCATAAATTCTGGATTCACGCTGGATTGATGACTTCCCCTAGGGTGTAGTTATGCATATGCTTGAATATTCGTGAGTGAGAGCCTTTCTGGTGTCATCATGCAGAATCGGAAATTGCATTTATGCCCCCTAGTGCAAAAAATTGCTTTTTAATGAAAGATGAATTTATTTGTGGGAAATTAAGGAGAGAAATTAAATGGTTTACATTTTTCATTCATGACCAGATTCACTGATTCACGCTCCTGTTCGGGGTGAGATTGTTGCCTCGCACCTGTCAGAGTGCAGCTACGAGTGCCGGCATTGCTGTTCATGGATTCTCTACTTTCTGTGTCGTCTGAGGCTCCTCCACGCATTCTGGTGCCATGCAGTTAGGCTAATTAGTGTCTCCAAATGTCTCATAGTCAGCAGTTGAGTAAAAATATTTCATGGGGAATGTTGGGGGTCAAATCTTTGGGGTGCCTCCATGATTCATTTCCTGAGCAGGAGGGTGGGGGGAGGGACTGGAATCTACATACTCGGTAGATTTACCTTTACGTGTGTGAATTTACAGACAACATTTTGGAGGGATTGTCAGAATTTGTGTGTTTGTATTTTTTTCCCATGGTGGGCACGGGGGGGGGGGGGGCTTGCCACATGCCTCCCATTACAACTCAAGAGCTGTTCATAATGTCATAATGTGAAGGGCTGGCATCCTGTCCAGGGTGTACCCAGCCCCGTGCCCTGTGAAGGGCTGGCATCCTGTCCAGGGTGTACCCAGCCCCGTGCCCTGTGGTGGGCTGGCACCCTGTCCAGGGTGTACCCAGCCCCATGCCCTGTGATGGGCTGGCACCCTGTCCAGGGTGTACCCAGCCCCATGCCCTGTGGTGGACTGCCATCCTGTGCAGGGT